GGCTGTTGGACTCATATCATAAGCTTCAGTCACTCCTGCCTTGAGAGGTCCTCACTTTGTCCCCATTTCTACACTTGCTCCCCAGTTACTTCTCCTTTCCAACCAGCTCCAAAACGTGTCCCTGGTCTCCCAAGGAAATCTCCTCAACTTCCACCCCCACCATCCAAACCTTCCAGTCTGGCCCCTCAAATGGCTCTCACGGAGGTCTCTCATAATGTCCTAAATCTGTTATATGGGAGTGGATGGAGACATTCTTCCTATGGAGACTCCCATAATGCCTAAGAGTGGGCATGGTGTGGGAAATCCACCAGCCCCTCCCTAGAGGTGACCACTGTCAGTGGCTCCGTGTGTGAACTTTGGGTCCCACCTCTACACCTCTACCTACCTACAGCCGAGCAGCACTTACAACAAATCATGTCCTGAGACCTGCGTCATTTGGCAAATTCCTGTGGGAACATTGCCAAGTGTATTTACACAAGATGGGTCACTCAATGTGGCCTCTTGATGCAATCAGGGATATGGAAAAGAGGATGTAGAAGGTGGGCCCTGGCATCACAGCACACTCTTAATGGGAAACTTTTTGTTTTTTGTTTTAATAAGCAGGAGTACAAGCTGGGCGTGGTGACTCAAACCTGTGATCCCAGCAACTATACTTTGATGACTGCAGAGCAGTAGATTTATAGCAGCATCACGGTAATGTGTGGTAATGTGTTATGTTAAGCATTAGGACGTTACCATGGCTACACCATCACTAGGTGACAGGAATTTCTCAGGTCTGTGATAACCTTATAGGATCACCATTCTATATGCTATCCACCATTGTTTGAAGGATCCTTGCATCGGGCATGACTGTGCATTATATAAACACACACACACACAGGCCCACACAATGATTTGGGATTTTACATGAGGTTATTCCATACATTTTTTTTTTCTGTGACTCTCCTCTTACATTTAATAACACATCCAAGTGCTCTTTATACCTTAGGACTCTATGGATTTGCTAATGTTCCTTTTTTTTTAAGTCAGGAATAGACTTGAATAAACAGTATCATATTATCAAGTAATATTATGAAGCGATGTTTCTTAAAAATTATTTATGAATTTTGGCAAAACACACATGACATAAAATTTAGCACCTTAACCAGTCGCATGGTATTAAGGACATTCACATTGTTCTGCGGCCACCACTGTCATTTTTCATCTTGCAAAACCCATCTCTATGCATCAAACGACAATTCCCCCCCACACTCCAGTTCCTGGAAACCGTTATTCTATTTTCTATATCTATGTATATGGCTACTCTCGGTACCTCATGTAAGTGTTTAGCCTTTGGGGGCTGCCTTATTTCATAAGCATAGTGTCCTCAATGTTATATATATAACATGTGTCAGAATTAATTAATTAATTTGTTAATTAATTAGTTGATTTTCAGCTCTGGGGATGGAATCCAGGCCTAGCAAGGACTCTATCATACCCTGAGCCACACCCTAGTCCACATTTTTATTTATTTTTGGGTACCTGATACCCAGGGGTGCTTAACCACTGAGCCTCATTCCCAGCCCTTTTTTCCTTTTAATTTTTTATTTTGAGAAAGGGTCTTGCTAAGTTGTTAGGCCCTCACCAAGTTGCTGAGGCTGGCTTTGAACTTGAGATACTGAGATACTCCTGTCTCAGCCTCCAGAGTCGCTGGGACTATAGGTGTGCCCCACTGCACCTGGCTCTACCTTTCCTTCTTCTTCTTTTTTTTTTGGGGGGGGGGAGGAGGGAGGGAGAGAGAGAGAGAGAGAGAGAGAGAGAGAGAGAGAGAGAGAGAGAGAATTTTTTAATATTTATTTTTTTACTTTTCGGCGGACACAACATCTTTATTTGTATGTGGTGCTGAAGATCAAACCCAGCGCTGTGCACATGCCAGGCGAGTGTGCTACCGCTTGAGCCACATCCCCAGCCCCTCTACCTTTTCTTTTTAAGGCTAATTATGTTTGAGTGTGTGTGTGTGTGTGTGTATACACCACATTTAATTTATTCATTTATCTATTGTTGGATCCCTTGTATTCTTTCCACCTTTTGGCTATTATAATTAATGTGGCTAAAAACACACATGTGCAAACATCTGTTACAGATTCTGCTTTCAGTTTCTTTGACTATATATCTAGAAGAATTTCTTTATCATATATCAATATTTTGAGGAACACCTTTCCTTTTTTAATATTTTTATTTTTACATTTATATGGTGCTTAATATCGAACCCAGTGCCTCATGCATGAGAGACAAGCACTTTACCACTGAGCCACAACCCCAGCCCCATCTTTCCTTTTAATACCTGCATTATAATGTCTTAATATGAACCAGTCACATATCTACTGATAAACACTGAAGTCATCTTAATGATATTTTTTTCTCGTTGTAAACAATGCTGCAGTTAATATCTTTAAGGTATGTACGTGTTTTCACAAATGTACATGTGCTTCTGTGGGAAGATTCCTAAAATGGGAATGTTGGGTCAAAGATATGCACACATTTTAAAGAGCATATCTTCACACACCTGTAGGCCCATCTACTCAGGCGGCTGAGGCAGGAGGATCACTTGAACCCAGAAGTTTGTTACAACCTGGACAATATAGCAAGACCCTGCCTCAAAAACAATAAACAAGCTGGATGTGGCTGTGCATGCCTGTAATCCCAGCAGCTCAGGAGGCTGAGGCAGGAGGATTGTGAGTTCAAAGCCAGCCTCAGCAACGGCAAGGCGCTAAGCAACTCAGTGAGATCCTGTCTCTAAATAAAATACAAAATAAGGCTGGGATGTGACTCAGTGGTTGAGTACACCTGAGTTCAATCCTCGGGGACCAAAAAATAAAAATAAAAACAAAATTTTTAAAGGGCTGTGGATGTGGCTCAGTGGTTAAGTGCACCTGGGTTCAATCCCTGGTACCAAACAACAAACAAAAACAACCCACAAACCAAGTTAGGCACATTTTTAAAGTTTAATAGTCATTGTCAAACTATCATCTAAGAAGTTTTCACCAACATACACATTTGTTTGTTTTCTTGCAGTGTGGGGATCAAACCCAAGGTCTTGAACGTGTTGGGCAAATAAATGCTCTTCTCACTGAGCTACCCAACCTAGCCCACTGACACCTGGGCTTCTCATCACCATATTTTGCCTGTGTCTGCCTGCACCCTGTCCAATACTCTACACTATCCATTTTTAAAATTTTTATCAGTATGACAGTCGTAGGTTTTTAACTCTCCAGCCTGCCCCTATTCCCACAACAGAAGCAGGCCTTTTCACAGTTGGTAGTTTTGTTCACCATTTCCCTTACTGGTTGTGAAGCAGGACATCTTTTCAAATATCTGTTGGCTGTTTGTATTTCTTCTGTGATTATCTTCTTCGGTTCTTTGCCCACAGCCATTCTCCGTTCTCCCTTTACAGGACCCTCTGGGGGCCTTCGCCACTGATGCCAGTTATAGAATTTTAGGTTTCAAATGATCTTCTGTGGAATTCTGCAGACAATGTTCAACCAACCGCCTTTTAGAATCCGTGGTTGCTACTGAAAAGCCCTGATGCCATGCTGATTCCTGATCCTTATTCTGTGACCTGTTCTTTTCTAGCTGAAAGTGCTTTGGATCTTCCCTTCACCCCATACGCTGAAATTTCACAATGTACCTCCCCGAGTCTCTGTATTCATCTTACTTAGGCACCTTTTAATCTAGGGACTTGAGTATTTCACTGACGGGACATTGTCTTGGTGTTTTTTCCGTTTTTAAAAATAATTTCTCTTCCTTTGTTCTCTTTGAACTATTTTTATTGGATGATAGACTTCCCAGATTCACCCTCCAAGTCTGTCTTCTCTCTTTCTTCTTTCCCTTGATTTTGATTTATCACTCTGCTATTGGGTTTTTAATTTCAGCTGAGAGCTTTCAGTTCTCAGGGCTTTCTCTCGTTTTCGGATTGATTGTTTTTCAGGGCAAGGGGAGTGTAAGAGTGGCCTGGTCTCCTCACTGTACCCTTTCCCTTTCCCCTGAGGGCCGCCTCTGAGGTCCCTCATGGCTCCTCCAGTTTGGACTCTGGTGCTGCTTGTGGGGGCTGCCTGGGGCCAGGCTCCCTTGCCCGCCCCTATCTGGTAAGCTGGGCTCAGAGGTGGGTGATGTACCAAGGGGTGGCAGAGGCCTGGGAGGAAGGCAGGGAGCCTGATGGGCTGGGGAGAAGTTACCTTACAAACAGTAGAGCACTGATCCTTCAGCCCCAGAGCCTGGAATTGGGGAGAAATGAAGGAGGGTACAGAGCTAAGGAGACAGACTGAGGCTGGGAGAGGAGGAGAGGCAGGTCAGACCCTTGGAAAACAGACAAAGCTCAGAGTAGGCCCAACTGATAAGTGAGACTTCAAATAGGAGGCATCTAAGAAATGATGGATGTTGCCGGGCGAGGTGGCACACACCTGTAAATAAGCAGATAGGGAGGCTGGGGCAGGAGGATTCTAAATTCAAGGCCAGCCTCTGCAACTTAGTGAGATCCTAAGCAATTTAGCAAGATCCTATCTCAAAATAAAAAAATAAAATAAAAAGGGATGGAGATGTGGCTCAGTGTTTAAGCACCCCTGGATTCAATCCCTAGTACCAAAAAGAAAAAGAAAAAAAAAAAGGATGATGTAGTATCCTGGAGCTTGTGGTTGGGGTGGGGAAGTGGGCTGAACTTGAACAAAGAAAAGAAAGGGCTGTTCTATGTGGGCAAGAGCCTTCTCTGTGGAATTGGTGAGATGAGGAGGAAGGACCAGGGAACATCTTTTTTATAAACATCCATTAATATGTTCAGTCGGGTGTAGCTGGCAAGATATCACCCACTACCCACTAGCAACCTGGGGTCCACGCATCTCTACTCTCTGGGCAAAATCTTGGGCTATCTAAAAAAAAAAAAAAGACCTCAACCCAAAGGAAGGAGACCCCAGTATGAAACCCAGACACTGCATGAGAATTCCCACGCCCAGGAAACCTGGTCTGCGATGGGAGGAGGTAGAGGAGGCCTGCTTTTTAGGAGAGTGGGAAGAACTTTAGGGGAAGAGGCTGAAGGTGACCTTCCTGAAATCCTGAAGAAGACAATGCACGCTGACTGTGTGAACGCTGACATACTCAGGGTAAAAAAGAGAGAAAAAAAAAAAATCGTCTGTCCATGACTGCTCAGAGAACTCTCAATCAGAGTCTTCTAATTCTCCGGAATAACAAGAGTGATATTTTTGCTTTTTCCAAACCAATCCCAAGGACACAGAAGCCCCAGGATTTGAAACCTGCTGCTCTCAACCCAAGGGAGAAATGTGAGTTGGAACCCGGATGACTCAGGCCTCCTCTCCCTCCCTAGGACTGAATGCTAATCCCTAGCCCAGGGTGGCCACCTTTAGTTATCCTTGGGGCAGGGTGGTGGCATAAACATAGGACCAATGTGCAAAGGGTGGCCCTTGGACCACAGAGGGCAGAGGGAACAGTGGGGCAGAGCCTCATGTTTATGAGGCAGATAAAGGAGGGGACAATGGAGCTTTTTCTGAAGGGAGGCAGCTCAGGAAAGGGGTGCAGTCTGGAGTCCGAATTCTTGAGTTCCAATCTCAGTCCTATGATGACAACCTTGTTGTCTGGCCCATTCCATTCCCCAGCCCTGAATTTCTCCCCAAAGATCTGTCTCCCAAATCTCTGCTTTGGATCCCCCAATCTTAGTGACAGCCTTCTCTAAATTTAGTGACCCTGCTGACCTCCATCTTCCAGGGTGGGTCTGTGGTCTTGGCCCCTGCCCTCTGCCCTCTGCCCTCTCTGAAGCCTCACAGGAGCCCTTTCTTTCCAGCCATTATCTCCCAGTGTGACTTTGACGATAATTCCAAACCCCTCTGTGACTGGTCCCAAGAGTTCACCGATGATGGGGACTGGATCCGAGCCAGTGGTCCCTCCCCATCTGGCACCACTGGGCCCCCTGGGGGGTACCCTAATGGAGGTGAGGGGCCTGTGGGAAGCCTCAGGTTTAGGGAGGGCAGATGGCAGGGGTCAGCAGGGAGCTGGGCACAGGCCAAGGTGTATGAAGGGAGGGGGTGCTGCTGAAGCCTCAGGCACACCTGGGCTCTGAGCAGGGGTGGGAGGGCAGTGTTGGGGACCAAAGGCTCCAGCACCCTGGGCTCTGCCTCCCCAGAGGGCTACTATCTGCACATGGATTCCAACAACTTCCGTCAGGGTGGAGTGGCCCGCCTGCGCAGCCCTGACATATGGGAGCAAGGCCCGTTCTGTGTTCGCTTCGCCTACCACATGTTCGGGCTGTCATGGGGCTCCTGGCTCCGACTGCTGCTATTCATGGGCAAACAGAACAATCGCCCCAAATTGCTCTGGAAACACACAAATACCCAGAGCCTTTCCTGGATACCTACCTCCGTCACTGTGCCCGCAGGACTCAACCTGCCCAGCTGGGTAAGGCCGAGGGAAGAGCCCCAGGGCCATCTGTGGGGGGGGGAGGGGATGCCAGGGGTATTGGAGGACCCAGAGGGCTGGGGCAAGGAGGGGGTGTGTGGTCCCTGCCATCTGAATTCAGGAAAATCAGGAGCTAAAGGCAAAGGGACAGGAGGCCTGGCCAGGGGCCTCACAGAATCAGGGATTCCCTTGTCTCCCATCCTGCAGCTGACGTTTGAGGGGATGAGGGGCAACACTCCCTACTTGGACATCTCCCTGGATGCCCTCGCTATCCATCGGGGAACCTGCAATAGGGGTGAGTCCCTCTCCCTCCCTCTCACATGCTTCTCTCTTCCTGGCTCCTGCAAATCTATTTTGGCTCAGCACCCAGGTTTCTCATGAGTCAAGACTACTGGCTTCCTTCTGCTACCTCACCCCACACCTCTGATTCCTGAAGAAGCCATACCCCAAGGAAGGTGCTCTTCCAACATGCAGTTGTGGGGATACCTTGTCTAGAGTGACCAACCAGCCTGGCTTTCCCTGGGCTGTCCCTGTCTCAGCACTGAAAGTCCTGCATCTCAGAAAGCCCTCCCTTCCAAGAAAACCTGGACATTACCACCACAATCCATCTAGTATTAGATGGATCTTTCTAAACTGACCCTAGAGACTGGAAGGGAGAAAATTCAAGGAAAGGAAAATTCCAGAAGCTGGGCGAAAGGAATCAACACTCATTAAGCAAAGGGACTGGACTAAACGCCCCATGCTCATGATCTGACGACCCTAGGAAGCAGAGGGGCACTGTCATTCCCAGTTTATAGATGAGAAAACTGAGGCTTGGGCAGGTCAAGTTACCTGTGTCAGGAACGCGGCCCATAGGCAAGGGGCCAATTCTGGCTGGAAAGCCAGCCACGGCTCATCATAGATCTGAGACTGGAACTCAAGAATTTTCTGGCTCCAGACTACATCCCTATCAGAGCTGCCTCCTTCTCCTTTCAGAAAAAGCTACATTGTCCCCTCCTTTCTCTGCCTTCAGTATGCATGATGCAAATGTGCAGTTTTGACACTATGAATGATCTCTGTGGCTGGAGCTGGATCCCATCTTCCTCTGGGGCCAAGTGGACACAGAAGAAAGGGTCATCGGGGCAGGCAGACGTGGGACCTAATGATGATTTCTCCAGTCCTGGGAGTGAGTACTGGCCATGCTTTTATCCTCGGGGCTTTCCAGGCTCTAGTGACCTCTGCACGCCCTACAATAGCTGCCATGGGTCTGTGAAGGTGAACCAGAACAGATTCAAGCCTTTTTCAGCTCAGGTTTCAAGAAGCATGCTCTGAGCACCCCCAGCTTTCCCACTAGCTCCACCTGGTGGACCCAACACAGCCTGCTCCTTACCTCCTTTCTTGGCATCTTTCCTTCCTTCCTTCCTTCCTTCATTTGATATTTACTGAGCACCTACAACATGCCCAGCAGTGTCTTAGGCTTTTGAGAATCAGTATGCAAAACAGACAGGGAGTGGTGTTGGTGAGGAACAGGGAGACAGATATCAAAACAAAGAAGGAAATTACAGTAAACAACAAAGTTTTGGTGTGACAAGTGCGTTGGGAAAAATCAGTTGAATAAGGGAAAGGGATTGTGGAAGTGCAGGGGTAGGAAAGTTGTGAATTTTAACTGGAGTGACCCGGATAGGTCTCCTTCAGATCACAGCTGAACACACTTGAGTTGAGAGAATGAAGCATGAAAATATTAGGAGTGTGGAAAAACATTCCAGACAGAGAAGCCTGCCATGCAAAGGCCCTGAGGTATCCCAGGCCAAGGGGGAAGAAGGAATTTGAAGTATAGCCATGGATCTAGAATGAAGAGTCTTAGCTCAGATGATAGGAAAGGCAAATCATATGGAGCCTTGAAGGCCATTGTCAGGACTATGGCATTTATTTTGTGTGAATGGGAGGGGGGCTTTGCAGAATTTGGAAGCGGTGTGACTTGATCTGATTTATTTTTGTAGTGCTGGGGGTGGAACCCAGGACCTCTCACACTCTAGACAAATGCTCTACCATTTTGTTAAGAAGCCACTGAAGGGCTGAGACTGAAGCTCAGTGGTCGAGCACCTGCCTAGCACGTGGGAGGCACTGGGTTTGATCCTCAGTACCACATAAAAGTAAAATAAAGGTATTATGTCTATCTACAATAAAAAGTATTTAAAAAAGCAAAAGAAAGGATTGAATTTTTAAAAAAAGGAGCCACTGAAGAGAACCCGCAAGAGTAGCCTTTGGAGGATATTTAGGGGGTTTTATTTAGCAGGAATCCAGGCAATACAGTCTTCCTGTTTTTCCACCAAATGCTACATCATGCTTCTTTTCCCACCATCTCTCTGTTCTCTTGCCTGGGGTTTTCCTTCCTCTTCCTGCTGTTCACTCCTTCCCTCTCTCTCCCTTCTCATCTCCTCTCTCAATCTTCTCTACACAGCCCACATTTCCAAGCCTTCAGGGCCCAGCTTTGTAGGTCCAACAGAGCTCACGGGCCCTCATTTCCTTTCTGAGAGTCCACTTCTTGTTTCTTCTCAGGCCTCTCGTCCCTTCCTTTCTGCCAGCTCGCCTTTGCATCTCTCAGCATCGTGTCCCATGCCTAGCAGTTTCAGCAAACGCTGTTTTTCTTTTAGTTTCTCTATTTTTTAGTTTTATCTATCACATATATAGATATATAAATTTCTTCCTTCCTTCCCTCCCTCCCTTCCTCCCTCCTTCCTTGCTTCCTTCCACCTGAGCCACATTAAGGCAGGGTCCAAGTTGCTTAGGACCTCGCTACATTGCTGAGGCTGCCTTTGAACTTGGGATCCTCTCGCCTCGTCTTCCTGAGCCGCTGGGATGGATGACGGGCGTCTCTTTCTTCTCTTCCATTTCTCACGTCTCCTCGCTCTCTCACTCAGTTTTCCCATCCCTTTCCTTCCAATTGTTTCCATTCTCTTCTCTGCTGTCCCTCTCTGGCTTGTTCCCTTATTTTAGCCTCCTTCTCCGCCCGCGCTCACCTAGGGGGACGCAGAGGGAGGCCGGCACCTGAACGGACGCATGCGCGGTCGGCACGTCCGCAGCCCCGTCCCTCTCCCGGCTACTCGTTACGTCACGGAGCGAAGTTCAGGCTGATTGGCTGCCTGAGGGAGCGGGTGCGGGGCGGGGGACCTGCGTGCCCTCGTGCGTCGGTCTGGCCCTTCTAACAATTTGTGCGAATGGTTGTGTAAAAAGAGGGCTCGAGGGGTCAGCATCCGAAGCACTAGATTTCGGAGGCTGCTTCTGAGAGGATGCTCGTGTTTCCTAGGGCGGCGCCCTCGTCCTTATCTAGTCCAAGCACTGGAGGGAGGGTGGAAGGCCTCAGCCAGTCGTGACTTGGGGTACGCCCACCTCAGCGCTGCCTGATTCTAGGTGGCTGTTGGGGTTCCCTAGGACCAGGTCCCCATCTCAGGTGGGGTCCTACCCCTGCGTAATACCCCCTTCAATTCCAGCCACCTTACTTTATAGGACTTTTCTTTCATAGATGGCCTCTACATGCTCCTGGACCCCAAAAATGCAAGGCCGGGGCAGAAATCTTCCCTCCTGAGTCCCCCGAGCCGCTCCAATGGCTGTCTGACCCTTTCTTTCTACTATATCCTGCGGAACCGGTCTCCTGGAGCAGCCCTCCTGGTCTACGCTTCCACCTTGGGTTAGCGGGGTGGGGGTGGGGGGGTGGGAGGGTGGAGGATGCATTGTATTTCCACTAGCATCTCCCAGGGTTGGGTTGATGGGGAAATAAGCGGGAAGGGAGGAGGAATGTCTCAGGGTCTAGGGAAATCCAAGATATGTGGGAGATTTTCCATGAAGTGGAAATGAGGACACTGGATTCTAGAAAAATGGATACATAGAGAGGGAGAGAGAAGAATTGTTTACATTTGGGGCAGCGTGCTTAAATATTTCTTCTGCAACTCACCCTTCTGGGTATAGGTTTGAAGTCATTCCTCAGCTCCTCTAAGCTCACTTCTCTCACCAATTTTTCCATTGTAGGCAGCATCCGGAAACACACTCTTTTTTCAGGACAACCTGGACCCAACTGGCAGCCTACTTCTCTCAATTATACAGGACCGGGACAGATACAGGTACAGAGGATCATGGGGTCAGATCTTTGCACATGGTAGGTACTCCCAAGGCACCAGGAGCAGAGGCCCTGGGTCTCTGAATGGAATAAGGTCAGATCCGGAGCCAAGTTTGGTGGCACAAGCCTGTAATCCCAGAGGCTGGGGAGGCTGAGGCAGGAGGATCTCAAGTTCAAAGCCAGCCTCAACAAAAGCCATGTGCTGAGCAACTCAGTGAGACCCTGTCTGTAAATGAAATTCAAAATAGGGCTGGGGATGTGGCTCAGTGGTCGAGTGCCCCTGAGTTCAATCCCTGGTACCCACCCACTCCCAAAAGAAGGATCAGATTGGGCTTTGGAGGGCTGAGGGTTTGTCCTGTGTACTTACTCCAGGCCCATTCTCTCTCTCTCCAGTTTGCCCTGGTGGGTGTGTTTGGAAGGATCCCAGAGCCAGCGGTAGCAGTGGATGCAGTCAGCCTTGCTCCCTGTGGGGGTGAGAGCAGGGCTCTGGGAGGCCCCCTGGAGTTGGGGATGGTAGGGACAGCAATGGAGAGCACTGCCCCAGTTTCTCAAACCTCCCTCTGGACCTACTAGACAGCTTTCCTCAGTGCAACTTTGAAGACAGAGCCCATCCCTTCTGTGACTGGACCCATAAACCAGAAAGTGGCGGACAGTGGTCCTGGGGAAGTAGAACTATTCTCAACAACATCACAGGCCTTGTGGGTGAGTTCTCTTATCAAGGTGAGGAGATTGAGGACCTCTCAACTCAATGAATTGCTGAATCTGCAATTAATGGAGGACATTGGAGGTGGTGAAGAGGAGCCAGCAGTGTTTATTGGGAAACTGTTATGGGTCCAGAGCTGAAGAGATGATAGTAGACACAGTTAAGGGTTCTCATGGCTGTAGGATTACTGCAATTCCCTAAGAAAATGAGTCCTCCCACTTCATTAAGTCTAAGCCTTCAAAATTGACAATCTCATATCTCAGCCGAGGCATTGATGGGTACATTTATGGTGTCTAGGTTGCAGGTTTTGTTTTTTTCCCCCATATTCTCCAGTTAGAAATCCAAAGTCAGTAGGAAACAATGCCATCATGTGAGGTGTTTGGTTACTTGCTCAGATGCCCACTTAGAAAGCCAGAAATAGCAAATAGACTTGCTGTTGTGCGGGTGTCTCATCTTGCTGGCTCCCCTCTTTTTCCCAGGGGATCATTTTATCTACTTTGAGGTGGACAAGGTCTCCAAAGCAGGGCAGTCTGTCAAACTGACCAGCCGGCCCTTCTGTGCCCCCGGGGATATCTGCGTGGAATTTTCTTACCACATGAATGGCCCTGGAGAGGGCAGTACACTCATTCTCCTGCTGAGCAGCCCTGCTGGAAGTTCCCCTTCTTCTCTGTGGAACCGTGTTGGGCCCCAGAGCCCTAGCTGGCTCAATGCTTCTACCACCATCTCTTCAGGACACCAGCAGCCCATGCAGGTGAGAGATGGAGAGTGGGCCCCGTATGTGTCTGCATGGCCTGTGGTAAGGGGATTCAGGGCTAGGTGTGGGACTGAGAAGGTGGAAAGGGAGCAGAGAAGAGATGAATGAAGGATTCAAGGCCCTGGGTAGGTTGGACCGTTAGGGTGCCAACAGGTAGTGGTCACACCTGGCAGAGTTGTTGAATTGCCATGGAGTCTTTTCATTTCTCTCTTCAGCTGATTTTTGAGGCCATCCGGGGTAGCAACCCCGCTTTTATTGTTGCTGTGGGTTTCATCTTGATCGGTCAAGGTTCTTGTCGAGGTAAGACAAAACCCTGGGCTCTAAGAAGGGTGCTAGGCCCTGGCATGATCACCCTGGCTCCTCTATAGGAGCTGTGTAAAATGCAAGTCCTCTTGTGCCTAGGACTCACATAGCGGATGTGGGTTTTTATGTCCTTCCCACCTCTACTGTCCCTGTACTGTCAGGATGCTTGCTTGAGCGAAAGTGTCTTTGATGCGATGAATCTCTGGAGCAGCATCCAGAACGCTTTCCCTAGTGATCCTATAGGCAAGACCTGTAGACTCGACAGGTCTTTCCCCTCCTCGTCATTTTTGTGTTTCCCATACCTGACACAAAGCAGGTGTATGTGGGGAGTGCTGTTTGTTGAGTGTTTGTTAAGTGAGTGAAGTTGTGGGCTGGGAATGGAAAGAGAGGTGGGTCCTTTGAGCCCACCAACTCCGGCTGGCTGTGAGTGAAAAGTGGGTGATATGATTTTGACTGAATTCCAAGGATTTGTTTTTCTTTGTAGACACAACAGCAGCAGGGCTTTCTACTGCATCTCCAGGTTCACAAACTGAATCATTTGAAACCAGTGTCTCCACAGAAGCACCCACCACTACCACAGAGAAACCCACTGAAACCACTGAGGAAACCACTACCCCCACTACTACCACTACCCCCACTACTACCACTACCCCC